CTTTGTATCTGTTGTATCACTGGCATTAAACTTGTTATTATGTTCCTTGACGAAAAGTCTGTCCCAGATCGTATTGCTAAATAAAGTCATTTTTGTTGTGTTCATTCAGCAAACCGTTGGTCTATAAAATATGATTTTTCGCAGTCATCTATGACATTGTATGATTATTGGTTTCGGAGTAGCTTCGCATTGAGCGAATTAAGTAATATCGTTTGAGTAGAATTTCTGAGGACACCCGCGAGAACTGGTGTTACAGAGTTTTGGCATGCGTCTGTTTACTGTTAGAAGCAACTTGCTGCCGAATCCAGCTGATTGAGAAGGTTTAGTGGAAATGATTCGAAACAGGTTTCGCCCAAGTTGGCCATTTACGATAAAATGAGGGCAAATTGTTATTTTTGCAGCTGAAATTTCATTCATGACAATCTCTGTGATTTCCTTCGTTCGACCTAATGGTCTTCTACTTTTCAGGTTTTCTTCAGGATAATTCAGCAGTGAGCGCCAGTAGTCGTTTCTCACTGTGTTTACATCGTGTGAGCTTGTACCCCTGTTTCTGTAGTTCTTTTGTTAGCATATTGGTTGTTTGGCGTTAATTTCTGTTTTCTTTTCTAGCCGAAAGCCGACGACCAAGCGAGGTAAGAGGTACTTGGAAAATCGCGCTCCAAAGCTGATCGAAAATGACAAAACTTGCCTATTTATTCGAGGCAACCGTGTAAGCCAGGCAGGCGTCGATCTGCTGAAAGACCTGGTAAACTTTGCTTTATCCATCGTCATCGTTTTCTTAATTGATTCCTGCATTTTAGTACTCTCTGAAAAAACCTTTGGCTGTTATGTTGAAGCGGTAAGCAGTGACTGCCCTTCCTTGTGCCTGTTTCTGAATTTGGTTACTCTGATGAGGTTGTTGATACAATGCTGGCATTTTGCTTTTAACAGGATTTTAAAGGTTTAGGAAGTTTTGTCATTTTTTCTTGTGTTTATGCGATCGCCACTTTGAGCCATTTGTAAGAGCAGAATGTCCCTGGTTTGTGATGTCCGCAATATTTGCCGCTTTTCAACACTTTTACAGCATGGCATCGGTTACGACATCGTAGAAAACAATTCGTCTCCGAAAGCAGACCTTGCTGTGCCTTCTTCCTCCAGGTCTCTTGCTGGCCTCCCGGACAACACTTGCCGTGTTTCGGCTTCCACATGAGAAGCTCATCGATGCGATAAATCGTTTATGCACAACCGGTTTGTCTAACAGGACTAACCTTCATATTTTGATTTCGTAATCTATCTCGCATATCTGTGTCCAATCCAGGCTATTGTATCGAAGATAATTTGTTTAGAAAAGTCAGAAATTTTTTGTCTGAGCAGTTAATGCGAAAAAGTTTTGTTCGTCGGCTAAAAGGAAAAACGATTGAAAATGTTGATTCCCGTAGTACTCTTGACATTGAAAGGTGATATCTAAAGGAAGATTCCTAGAAGACTAGGTACGGTAAGATTTTGGTTCATCAAAATGACTAACGATCTTGTTGCTCAAGTGCGCGAAATGTGTGCAGTACATTTAGAAGGCGGCAAATTTGCTCTCTCCCAACTTCTGCCGTGTTTATTATTATCCTTCGTTATAACCGAGCCCGTGACTTAATGTCAGATGAGGGAAATAGTTCTGTTTTATTAATTTGTTGAGTGTTGTCTATCCGTCTTGATGATGATGGAAATGATGTCAAAGCTGATTATGATTGTATGCGTTGAAAAGAATTTTCTTTAAGCTTTCTCTCCTGTTTTGCTACCATTCTAACCATAAGAATTCTGTTTCTAGACAGAATGTGGATTAATCAAGTCATGAAGAAGCTTATCACGGACAGCATCATTAACTTCAATTCATAGGCTTTCTTCTGATTTACCATAGGAAGATTTTCTTCAGGGTTATTTAAAGGTGTGCAGCCATTCAGTCAGTGTCGATGATCTCTCATTCTTTAGAGTCGCAGAGGCAGACCCAACAGACAGTGACTCCAACTCTCCTGATCCTGTGCCAACGTTTCAGATTCGGCATAAAGATAACCTGAGTCTGAAGCAGAATTGCCCTGCCTGTCCCCGCCGTCATCGACCGATCGGTTGAGCTAGTAGTAGCTGTTTTGTCTTGCCTTCTGGAAGCACTCACAAGACGTACCCGTACCATCGTAGCTGTTACTTCGCAATCTGCGGAAACAGCAGCTGCACATCAAGGTTCTGTTGGATGTGTCAGATATCCTGACCATGTCGAGACACGTCAACCCAGCGATTCGTCTCAGAAAGACCATTTCAGCCGTTTCTACACGGGGTAAACTTTCTCAGTCATGGCGCACGTCTCTTGACAGTGTGAGAACGAAGATCGACTTGAACATTTGGATTGGATGAAGATCGACTTGAACACCGAGCTTTGTCTTAAGACTCAGCTTTGGAGTAGGTACTGCGTTTCGAGCTAGTTGATTTAGAGTACCACTGGCCATTCAGATTTTCCGGTCGACATCTTCCTCTCATTCTCCATCACCATTAAGCATGACCCCAAGTTTGTGAACTTCCCCACCTGTTCCACTGCATCTTCGTTTATCTGCAGAGCGCAACGGGCAGGAGAATGAAAAAGCACCGTCATTTTGGTTTTAGACACATTCTAATGCTTTCGGGCTACATCGCGTTCGGCTTCGAATCTTTCCACAGAGCGCTGGCTATCAGCTTCAGAACA